GCCCTGCAGGTAAGGCATGCTTGTGGGTCAAAAACATAAGAAATTATATGGTGAAGTGTCATTTTTACATGTTTCTTTCATTTGCTCCGTCCCTAGTTCAGCCTGATGGGTAACAGCTATTAATTCCTGAGTATTCTTCTAGAATACTTTTTCACATTCGAAAGCAAGTGTAGATATATTATTTTTCTCCTTTTTAATAAAAAAGTGATCTGTTATTTACTCTTTAATTTTTTCTTAAAAAACTATTCTACACTGCTCTATTTTCATGTAGTTACACTGTTTTTATTTAATATATCTTGAAAATTACTAGATTTCAGTACTTGGGGAGGCTCTGAATTCAGTTTTAAACAATTACCTATAATGACATTATATGAATATACTACTATTTATTTACCTAGTTACATATTGATAGACATTAGGATATTTTCAAATTTTTCATTACAGTGAATAATCCTATACATACAACATTTCCCATATTCCTGATATATGGTTTCCTAATAGTGAAAATATTTTCTAGACTAAAAGGTGAACATTTCTAGTTTTCATAGACACTAGTATATTTCTTAATTTATACTCCCATCAGAATGCAAGAGAAAATGCCTTTCCCTCCAGAATCTTATCAATAGAGTATGTTAGCTAACTTTGGATTTTTGCCACCTGAGATGGCAAAATGGTCTTTAATCTGCAGTTTTAATTTATGTTTCTCTTTTTAATGAGTAAACTATATAGTTGTTTCTTAATAGCAAATTTTATTTCCTTTTTCTGTTTCAAAGGTTATGATTTTGTCAATTTGTCTTTGTGATAAGAGCTGTAAATATTTCCCTTGTCTTTTTTAAAAGTTTGTTTATGATGCTTCTTTCCATAAAAAAATTGATTTTTATGTAACAAAAATTACCAATGAAATAATTTCTGACTTGAGGATTTTGAGTCATACAAGGTTAGCTAGTTCAAATTTGTAAAGAAAATTTTTTCAGGTTTTCTTCTGATTATTCAATGATTGTGTTGTTAAAAAAAATTTTGGTACATATGGAATTTATCATGGCATATGAGGTAAGGCATAGATATTACTTTACTTATCCCTATAACATTTATTGACTACTTCTTTTTCCCAGTGATTTGAGATGGTATCCTTTTAATGCATTCAATTTCTGTATGTATCTGAGTGTACTTACTTCTGGGCATTCTGTTTTGCTAATAGACCAGTATTATTTAGGCTTTTAAATTATTTAGGCTTTTAAGAATGCCTTAATGTGTTTTAGTGCTGGTTCCACTTCTATGTTTATTTTCTTTTTACTAGATTTAGCATCAGGTGACATAGCTTAAAACTGTTGAGTTTTCAGTGAGATTTTGTTAAATTTACAAATTAATTTTCACAATAATATGGTCCTTTTATTTGTAGAAAGCTATTTTTTGCCTTCAGTGATATTTTAAGTTTCATTTTTTCATTTAAGTTTTATTTTAATAGGTCTCATATTTTCTTAATATATTTTTGTTACTGTTATATATGAAATCTTTCTTCCATTAAATCTTCCAAAAGATTGTTTGAATATATGTAAACTATTGTTTTTTTGTATGATGATTTTGTACTTGATAATCTAATTGAGCTATCCTACTGTTTGTAGTAGCTGTTAATAAAATATCTTCAATCTTCCAATCTTCCATTACTATGTCAACCACAATTAGTGGTATTTTAATTCATCTCGTCCATTTTTTATACTTATAATTTCTTTCTCTTGGGTAATTGTTTAGACTAATAACTCTAACACAGTATCAATTGTGGTGGTCTTACTGGTACTAGGCGGCACAGTGAAGAGGTTCTCATGAAGGTCAAGAATGATATGATGGCTTTGAATTAAAATAGACACATTTTATCATGCTAAGATGCCTTGTTCTAGTTTTATATTATTTTTTTGTATTTTGTGTTCTATCAAGAAAGGCTGATAAATTTTGTCCAATTTTTAGTGTCTATGGAGAGATGCTTTCGATCTGTCAATACAATGAGCTGCATTAATAGAGTTTCTAGTACTGAACCTTCATTACCTCATTTGATAATGTTGTTTTATTTTTTTTAAATGAGCTTTTGGATTCAGTTTGCTAATATATTATTTAAAATATTTATATAGTTATTAATTCTGCGGTTAGTGTGACCAAAGAATGTCATTTATATGATTTTGTAATTAGATTTTATTGTTTTCTGTTTCCTGTCATCTTGAAAAAAATGACGTACTCTCTATTTTTCAGGCAGCAGAATTTATAATATTTTAATAATTTATATTATATCAATTATGCAATTTGTGATATTTCTAAATCTTTGGCTTTTGTCTATTTAAATGAGTCATGCACTTGAGAGGTGAACTGAGGTCTCCCAAAATGTGTGTGTGTGTGTGTGTGTGTGTGTGTTTTAGTTTCCTTTGTCTCCTGTAATTTTTGCTCACTGTATCTTATTGTTATTTTATTTGTTATATAGCCGTATTAAGTATTATATCTTCATGTATCTTATTGTTATTTTATTTGTTATATAGCCGTATTAAGTATTATATCTTCATGGGGGATTATATGCTTTAGCATTATTAAATTCTATTCTTTGTTTCATTTAATGCTTTTTTCCATGCATTCCACATTGTCTGATATAAATATTGTGACTTCCATTTTATGTGTGTGTACAAATATATATAATCATCCATTCATTTTCAGGCCTTAGAATCACTTTATCTTCAGATTTTCCTTGTATTTACTTTGTGATTCATTCTGTAAATATTTTCCTTAATATTGATGAATCAAAGCAATTTACATCTATTGATAACAATCAAAGTGATGTTAGTTTTATTATTTTAATTTATATCATATTTCTGATTTATAACTTTTAAAAAGTCAATTACAATATGGTCTGTTTGCTTATTGTTTTCAGTGTGAAGTTTTTTCTGATATTTAGTGAGGCTTAGATTTTTCTTTTAGTATTTTCATAACTATATCTTAATATAACACCATTAGTCCTAATCTTTGGATACTAGTATCTATTAGTTGTCTCTTATGAACAATGATGAAGGCTATTTCTTTACTATTGCTTCCTTTTCTCTCTCCAGAGATTTAGTGAATTACTTTTCTTTCTTTCCCTCCCTTCATCCCTCCCTTCCTTCCTTTCTCTTTCTTTCCCTCCCTCCCTCCTTCCCTCCCTCCCTCCCTCCTTCCCTCCCTTCCTTTCTTCTTTTTTTTTTTTTGTACCAGAGATTGAACTAGGAGTGCTTAACTGAGATACATTCCCAGTCCTTTTTATTTTTCATTTTGAGATAGAGTCTCCTTAAATTGCTGAGGCTGGCCTCAAACTTTTCGATCCTCTGCCTCAGCTGCCTGTGTTTCTGGGATTACAGGCATGTGCCACCACGCCCCAGTTCAATCACCTTTCTTTTTTTTTTTTTTTTGAGAGAGAGAATTTTTTAATATTTATTTTTTAGTTTTCGGTGGACACAACATCCTTATTTTACTTTTAAGTGGTGCTGAGGATAGAACCCAGCGCCCTGTGCATTCCAGGTGAGCACGCTACCACTTGAGGCACATCCCCAGCCCACCTTTCTTAATGTCTTTTTTTTTTTTGTAGAATTGTATGTGGTTATCTGCCAGTTCAGAATAGTAGCATTTGATTCTTGGCTCTTGAAGGTGGAAGTTCACCATTCTAATCACATTCTTTTCTTTTCCGCTCATCCTAACAAAATTATACAAGTTTAAAATAAAGAAAGGATTAGACAGCCAGGAAAAAAAAATATCAAGTTACTTAATAAGGAAGAATATATCAGAATCACTAAGCACTTATCAATAAGAAAAACAATGGAGCAATGCCTGTGAAATACTCCACAAAGAAAGAGAGCCACACTGTCACACAGAAATAAAAAGTACAGATGATCTTAAATATGGACGAATTCTTAGAACATTGTCCTCATGGACACTACTAAAAGGAAACTACTAGAAGAAAATTTTCAAACAATCAAGAGATAACTAAGAAAATTGCAGCAAAATGACTCATGGTTATCACTAAATGAGTCTGAATGCACAATTATGATTATCACACATTGAAGCTCATGATGAAGAAATATAATGCAAACAGTATATACCTGACAATAAAAGGAGAACTCAACTTTAAAAAAATAAGAGGAAAAGAAAAGAATAAGTTATTGACCATTTTGGGCACAGCTTGTCCTTGTGATATAGAGATTCAAATCCATATTTCAATAAATTTTTCTTAAATTGTAACTTTATGTATTTGTTAAAATTTGTATTTTGGTGGTGGGGGGAGAGGTTATTTCTCTGCAAATACTGGATCTCTTGGTCAGTCTTTCATTCCTCCCATTTCCTCTCTGATACTTCTACCACTGAGTTATAACCCTAGTCCCAAAAGTTTATCTTCAATTCTATCATGATTTTTAAACCTACTTTTTCCCTGATCAGTTGTGGTCAGTTGTGCAGGAGGGTGGCACCAGGGAACAGAGTGAGAGAAGATGAGTTTGAAGAGTGAGGCAGCATTTAGAATGGGTAAGTCTTAGGCTACAGCAAAGAATTTGAAATTTCTTCCATGTAGGATGAGAAGCCAGTGAAGGATTTTTTTCCTTCAGTTTTAGATCAAATACAGGATCTTGTGCAGGCTAGGCAAGTGCTCTACTACTGAGTTACATCCCCATGCACATTGGACAGTTTTAAAAGCACATATGGTATAACCGGATATATTAGTAGGGTCATATGACATCTGTGCAGAAAATAGATTGTAGGGAGATGAAAGTAGGAGAAGGGAGACCTCTTAGGAGACTTCCAAGATCATTCCTGTGGCTTCACCAGGGTGGTTGTGGGAGGGTTGGTGAGACATGGTCACAGAACAAGTACTCTTTTCTATCTTATATGATGTACTTCAGCAAACTAACCTATGTACATTTCAACACGTCTGTGTTTTGATTCACAAGTAGCTCTTCAATGGAAATGCCCTGCTTAGGTGGAATTTACTCATTTAGTTAACATTTCTTTATGAATTAGGGTCAGCACAGCTCCAGAAAATAACAATACAGTGATGAAAAAAACACAGATGTGGACCCCAACCTTACAGAAACTGTATTGTGGCTGGTGAAAATAACAATAAAATAATAAACATAGCTAATGCTCAGTGAGCAAGTATATATTCTAGGTAACTCTTTTCACATGATACCCCCTGGATTTACCACAACTCTAGTTATATTAGTAATATTTATCACCTTTATCTTATAGGTGAAGATAACATAGATAAGAGGGGTTATATATGTTGCCTAACTGCATAATCAGTAAGTGGTGGGACAGATTATAGCCAAGAATTAGTAAATGAGCAAATAGATCATCAATATGAAGAAACATGGTATGGAAAAAGTATGGAAATTGGGGAAACCTCTCTGAACAGGTATATTTGAGTGATTTGTGCATTTGTAGCAACCACCCATATCAGGGCTGGGATAAAAGTATGCTTTATAGATCTAATAATAAGTATGAAGATTTGAGGCCAAAAAGAGCTTGATGTGAGGAACCAAAAGGAGGTCAGTGGAGTTGGAGCATGCGCAAGAGGGAGAATGGTAGAAATGAAACTGGAGATCCAGCAATGCATGACAAAGGCACAGTGGAATAAGAGAGGGCAGTTAGGAGGTTATTGCAAGAAGCCACTTAGGGAATCATGGCTTAGAATAGATAGGGGCAGTGGTGACGTCCAGAAGTGGATGGATTTGAAATATCTTCTGGAGGTCGATCAATAGTACTTCTAATGAACTTGACAAGAGGTTAAAAAGAAGTACTCAAAGATAATTCATAGTGCAAATGTGTAAGACTATCTGAACATAAGCCTGTTCTATGACTTTGAGTTTAGCCTTAGTCATTTGGATTAATATGATGGGAAAGAAGTTGAAATCTAGTGGGGGTTAACAAGGGCATTAACATTTTTTAAACAGTTATGGGACAGACATTTCACAGATGGCTTCTCTTTTATTGTCATAGCACTCCTCATTCATTCAACAAATATTTGAATGCCCAAAAAAATCCCAGCTACTGAAGGTGCAGGAAAAACACAAAAAGCTCAGATCTCCGCTCTCATGAAGTTTACCAACTGGTGAGAGATTTCATTTCTTATTACGCTGTAATACCTAGATATGATTTTTCTGCATTTTTCAGTTGAGTCCTGGGACTTAGAATGCATAAGTAACTTTCTCAATATCATATAAAAGGTTAGGGCCTAGATTCTAATGTTTCTATTGATTTTCATTATTGCATGTTGAAAATGCAATATTCAGATATGGACCTAGTTAACTATCCATGTAAATTGATGTAGATAATCCCTTGGTAAAAGACTTTTTTTTGTTGTTTCTATTAGACAGCTTCTTCCACCCTTTGTTCCTTCCTATGTCGTTTAAATTAATATTTAATTTTGGCCTTTGCAATTACAGGATGCTGATAACAACATTCTCAATCAGGAATGAAGAAGTGTGTCTAACACTCTGGAAAACACACCTCCCAACTGCCAAAGTGCCTGAATTTTATGGAAAACAGAGAGATTTTCTTTGCTGTCAAGTTTTCTGCCTCTCACTTCCTCCCACAGCTGTGTGTTTGAATATTCAGCAGCAGGGTTGGAGGGAGGAGTCAATTATTTTTGGTGGGCGACTCTACCTGCACTTTTCCCTTGGTGGTGGAAGCAAACCAAGTGTCAGTAAAAAACAGAGATTACTGAGATGTTTGAGTTCTGAAGCTTCCAATAGAAAATACATTTATAATGAATTATCTTAAATTAAATTTTAATGGCCTCTAAATTGTATATAAAGTACGAGCACAGAAGCAGTCTCCTGTGTGGATAAACATCATTAGTGTGTAAGTAGGAAAACTTCTTTGGCTTCTTTTTTCCTCCGGGTTTCCTAACAACTCCATGGATCCTTTTCTATCTAATGTGAATGCCAATATGCTTTTCTTTTTTGACTTTCCCTGTGAGCCTCCTGTGTTAATAGCTGGCTTTTGACTTGTCGTTAAAAAAAAAAAAAAAAAAAAAGGAAAAAAAAAGTGCTAGTTCTCTGCTGAGGTGAAACCTTACCTGCCACCTGCACATGCTCTTCTGGCAATGCCTCGTGATCCTTCAACTCACAGGAAATCCTTGGAGGAACGAAAAGGACAGGCCCACCTCCACAGCAGAGCAAGTTCCTGGCTTAGTCACATCAGTGGGATGAATGCTCACACGGTGTACTGACAGGTCTGGGTAAACCCAAGTGCTCCTGCAAATAGGCACCAGGGCTGCTTGGAAACCTGGCATTACCCTCAAAGGTGTGGGATTTTGGCTCCCCAGCTTGTTCTTCTGCTTGGAGTGGAAGCTTATTACCATCCAACCAAACTTTCTGCATTAAATGGGGGAGTGCAAGAGGGGTGGGGGAGAACATGGAGACTTTCTTAACCACCTGGATTCCGAAAGTGCCATTTCAGGAACATGGCCCTGTGGTCAGCTCACTGCTACCTCCCAGGCTCATCTAAATGGCCACACCCTGAGTGGCCTGGTCCAGAGCAGCTGTGTGGACTGCTTGTGTGGTCATACCAACAACCCTCAGGAAGAGACAGCCTGCCAAACCCCAGGAAACTTGGAGTTTACGTCAACTTCATGCTTTCCCATTAGACTCTGGGAAGAAAGAAGGTGCAGACAGACATGTGCTCATGGCCGCCGGCATAACTCTGGTTCAAACATTTTCTGTTTTTGACAACCAACTGCTTTTTTTTTTAATGAAGATATTTTTAATTTTAAATTTATTTGAGCTCCAAGACCAAATAACGTATGAATAAAAAAATGAATAAAATCAACAGCTTTCCATTGAAATCTACATATCACATTGTTTATTTTAACCAAATACACTAATATCCTTTGGTTTACATCTATATTTTTTGGAGGGTGTTCTATAATCACCAGGCACCTGTTTTCAAGTTGGAAGTGGGCAATTTGGGGATTGGGGTTAAGGGCATGGTTTTTGGTGTCAGATTTGTGTGTTTAAAACTTGTTCTTTTACCGTATCATCTTGAATGAGTTACTGAATTTCTCTCAGCCTCAGTTTCCTTTTCCAGAGAATGGATGTAACTAATAAAAGTGCTTCTCACATTGGATTGTTGAGAAAAATAACTGAGATCATGTGTTTGGAATACTTAGCATGATGCCAGGCACATAAAGTTCTGTAAGTAAATGCAGCTGGTGATATTGTTAGTGGGGTTGATGATGTCCTGCCATGCTAGGTTCCTCCCCGCCCCAACTTGAATAGAGTGGAAACCATTGAGAGAACAAAATCTAGTCAGTGATTGGGCATAAAAGATTTAAGTCATTAGGCCAATTTAAAGAGAGAAATAGTAGATCAAGAAATATATAATGTCCTTCATAGGTGCATTTATAATGCAGCAAATGGATTTTAGCCAAGACTTGATACATGTTCAATGTGTTTTGGGGTGAAATACTCAAAGGTATGAAAATACACATGTTAGGACAATATTAAATTGAACAACTGTGCATATTTATGTGTTTTACTTCACTTATGTTGCAAATTTCTTTTTCTTGCAGCTCGTTTTGACTGAAGACTCCAAGAAAAGATATGCTACATGTAAATACATTGTCCTCACACATGGGCGGAATAGCATAATACTATAATATGATGGCAATTATAGGATGATTTTAATGTCAATGAAAGGAATGTGTTCTCACTATTGCCATGATGAACACTATTGGAACTCAAGAGGAATTTATCGAATAATAATTTCTATATTGATAGGGGGAAAATCTACTTAGTGCTTGAGAACTTAAAGGCGTGGGAATTTATTGCATCTTATGATACCAAATTGACTACCTCTGAAACTTTTTTTTAAAAATATTTTTAGTTGTACATGGATACAATTCATTCATTCATTTCTTTCTTTCTTTCTTTCTTTCTTTCTTTCTTTCTTTCTCTTTCTTTCTTTCTTTCTTTCTTTCTTTCTTTCTATGTTGCTTAGAATTGAACCCAGAGCCTCACACGCACAGGCAAGCTCTCTACCACTGCCTCATAACCCCAGTCCCCAAAACGTTTTCTAGAAAAAATAACTCCTCATATTTTTTAGTGTTTTTATAAATAATTTTGAATCCATTATGAGCCTTTAAATTAGAAACACAGGAAAAAAAAAAAGGTTTGACAACTTGTCCTTCGGGACTAGCTTTTTTGGAAAAGGAATTTGAGAGAGTTGATAAAATTCTCCCTCCTTGGTTGAAATTCATGTCTCACTAGTTGTACAATACTATATTGGTTTCTCTGCTTCTTAAGAAACCATGTCTCAGTTCCTGGTGTTATATTGATATAAATCCATTCTGCCTTTGGCATGTTGCCAACCAGTTTGACACAACTACACATTTGAGTGAAATCATGGCAGGAACATTGGGAGAAGTTATAATTGTCTCATGTACACTGGTGGGCATTTCAGATGGTCTCCTAACTTTTGATTATTCAAGTATTACTGACCCAGTCAGGAATTCTTCATCCGCCACTTTTCATATTATTACTTACAGAGAGTTGACATTTTATGCTAGCATATTTAAGATCAACTTTGCCATTAGTCTTTCCAAAAAATGAAAATATCCTTTCATTTAAAGAACATTTGAAGATGGGAATTACCAATCCACATATCCAAGGAGTTAGGGATCTGCTACTGTTATTCAGGATAAAATACTTGTTAGCATGTTTGTTGAGCAGGCTGCACCTATGCCACCCTAGTCCCAGTCTACCACAAGAAAAAATCATGCTTGGAAAACAAGGATGTTTGTAAGGCAATGGGCCAAAATGCCTTCAAAGTATTGAGGGTAGAAGAATGACCCATAGCAAATTATATATGCTGAGATTTTATATAGATAACATTAGATTAAATTTTTCAGATAGCTTAAAAGAGGAAATAAATTACATATATGAATGAATAGGATTACGCGATTCTCCATACTTTCATAACTTTCCTATAGTTTACTATAACATGGTTTGCTTTATCATTAGTCATGTTTACATGCCTATTTCATTTGTTAGACAGCATTTTAAAATTTAAGAGAGTGGAACGTGTTCTCCCTTGAGTTTGCTTCTTGTCTATGGGTCAGCCCAGTGTCTGCAGCTTTCATGGTGCTCAGTAAGGACTTGTTGGCTGTGTGGGACGTGAGGATCTTGGCCTTGACCTTGGTGGAAGTTACATATTTTAGATCAGAGTTTGTACAATTTTACAAATTATCAAATATTTACAAGCTCTCTCTCTTCCTCATCAGACCTTTTTCCCTTCACTCCTCTCTCCACACATTAGGGCATTTTGAACCATCAGACCAAATGTGTTTACCCTGCATCCCCTTGGCCATTGTTTTAGTGGAGCAGACTCCAAGATTTAGGGCAAGGGGCAGAATGTAGGGCTTGTATAAAATAAACTAGAAAACAACAATTGAGAAGTGATGGCCAAGAGAAAAGGGAGAACCATCTTTTCTGTGGATGGATAGATGAAGCACATAGTAGAAGAAATTGGAGAGGCATAGAAGAAGAGTAATCTGAAAACCCCGAGTTAAAGACAGAAGTGGACACACACACACACACACACACACACACACACACACACCAGCACTCCACCCCAGGGCTGACTCTTGAGTATGTTCCTTGACTTGGCCTCTTCATATTTTTTATTCTCTTGCCCAGCCTTTAGAAATAGAGATATCTGACTTATACTTTCTTTTCAGAAATATTTTTCAAAATTATTTTTTGAAAAAGGCACTACAAATTTCTATAACCTTCTCGGAGGCAATCACATGTTTTACAAATAAAGTGCTTATTCATAGAAGAAAGTTTAGATGGCAAATAAACAACCATCAGCTGTCAGATGAATTGCTTTTATATTCTTTTTTTTTTTGCTTTTATATTCTTTAGAGTTTCCTCTAACCCCAGGTATTTTCTCTGACTCTTTTTCCTTACATTTTCTTTTCTTTTCTTTTTTTTAAATGAAGGAAGGGAGGGTGGTAGGATACCTGAATACCTGGTTAAATAAGAAAAAGTTTTCCATTGTGTTGTATATTACAAGTAATACATCTTTTTGAAAGGCTATTTATTTAATTATAAAAGTACTCATGGATATCTATGAAATGTAAATCTTTCATAAATGAATAAACAATGACACGTGGTTGTTCTGACCAGGAGTATCTATCATATGTAATGGAAAAAAGAAATAGGTCCCTATGTGACTTTTTTTTTTGTGTGTGTGTGTGGTGCTGGGGATTGAACCCAGGGCCTTGTGCATGATAGGCAAGCACTCTACCAACTAAGCTATATTCTCAGCTCTCTCTATGTGACCTTAAGAATTTATCAGTAAATATTTATTCATAGAAAATGTTAAGATTCATTTTAGAAATTTTATTTTGATCAATTTAATAACTAGTTAATTTTTGTTTTTTATTTATTTTTAAAATTGTTCTTTTTTGTTTTATATGACAGCAATATATATTTTGACATATCACACACACATGGAGTATAACTTCCCATTCTTGTGGTTGTACATGTCATGGAGTTACACTGATCATGTTTTTATATATGAATAGAATTATGTCTGATTCATTCATTCACATTTTCCCTTCCTTCCCTTTATTCCCCCACGTCCAACGGAACCTCCTGCCAACAGTACCCCTCCATTGTGAGTCAACATCTACATATCAGAAAGAACATTTGGTCTTTTGT